GGAATTCTGGATTCAGGTATTTTTTGGAGGAAACTTTCTTTAAAACGCAAATAGCTCGATGGCCCACCCATTGCTGCCTTTAAGCGATCATGAGAAGCAAAATCCAATAAATTTAACCAGGCCTGGTTAGCTGAACTTTGGCTCGGACCCTTCCCTTCTCGTAATGGAACCTCTGAGGAAGTCCTACGATGCGAAACATAGGCAAATAAACTTATTGAATCAACATTCACTTGGTTCATAGAAAAGAAATATGTTTCGCCCCATAAGAATAAGATTGGTGGGAGAGAGCCAGACCCGCGGAAGACTAAGTATGTTCGAATACCAAAACCCTTAGCCACCTCTTCACCTATTCTAGGGTCCGAAAGAAGAAGCACAAAACAAGTAAGTTGGTATGTTTTGAGTAGCGTGAGGAGATGACTGGGAAGTCGAGTCATAGGTTGATCTCGAACATCCCACAACAACAACCTAAGTGCCCTAGGACTCGTAAGGTTGACGGGTAATGGGGATGTAGAGTTAGAACTCTCTCCGGAGTTATGAGGAAAAGGGAGTGTTTTGTGACTTATGATGGCCAAAATAGAGTAAGTCAAGCTTAAAGGAAATTGTAGTCGTGCAAATAGCAGTGACGCACGCGATGACTTTGATTTAGATTTTGATGTTAAACTTTGTAAAGTGGAAATTCGCCCAGAAAAATTAATTTTGTTTCTGGGCCATAAACATGAACCAAGATATCAAGATCTACCAAATTTAGAAAAATTTGACGGTATAGGTGACCCCAATGATCCATCTCTGTAAGTTTGTCAATGTCCTTGTCCCCTTGGATGTCCCAGAAGAACACCTCCCTACATTATTTGATCGTAGCTTGGAAGGGGCAGCGTTATCTTGGTATTACGGTTTTGAACGCATTGGTGAAGCAACTTGGAAGGAGGTAACACAAGCTTTTGTTAATTGGGCTTATAATTTTAGGCAAACGGACCCTCAGAAATAGGTCTTAGTCTCAACAGAACAGACAAATCAAGAAACATTCTCTCACTTCTGTTCTCGATGTTCTGTTGTACGATCCAAGCTCCGAAATCCTATCACAGATAAAGAATTTATGCTCATCATGCTTAAGAACCTTAATGATTTCTATTATCGTCAAATGGTTACAATGAGATACAATATTCTTGGGCATATGGAACAACATGGTTTCGACATCGACACATATAAATTACTAAACCATAGGCCGAGGGTCAATCCATGTGCCGAAACATCTGAAAGAAGATCATTTACAGAAATTGACGAGCCTCTAAGTGTGGTGTATCGTCGTTTACACAGACAAGGCCTTATAAGAACAAAGGGATACGTATGTGCAATCCCACCGCCCGAAGTAAATATGGAGAGATACTGTAGTTATTGCAGTCTGTTTGGTCACACAACTGATTCATGTTATGATCTTCGATGCTCTATCCAAGACCTCATTGATCGTAGGATAATCGACCCAATCCACACAAAGCCCAAGTCTAGACACAATCTTGTGCGACGTTTTTCATCACAACAATGGTCATCTCAATCTGCAATCTTTCGAGGATTACTCTATGAAGGCGTTATCAAACCACTTCCTCGACGACCTGGAGCCAGCCCTATTGGAGTAGACCTCCAAAATATTGTCATTACCATCAGCTTCACGGTCACGACACCGATGGATGTCACGCTCTTCGCTTGCGCATCAAACGTATTACCAAGATATCACATTTGAGCCGTAAAATGTTAATATCCATTAATGTCATATCAACTTCTAATGATATTGAAGATCCTACGAGTCTTATGACATTTGATCCTCTAAGTGAAGAAATGGGACGTATGACTGTGAATGAACCATTATCTCCTGCACCACAATCTGGTAGATCACCTGGTGACAAAGAGCTCTTTTGGATAGGTGGTGATGAATTTGTCGTGACTGTCGATGGATAAGATACATCTGCAACGAGAGTTGCATCTATTCAATCAATCATGGAGCCACATATCTTTCTGAGACGGATCGACAACGAAACCAAGAAAGCATGTACTCAAGTATGTAAAGCGTGGGCTAAATGGTTATATAAAATGAAGCAGGATAGTTATGGTGAAGAACCTAGCGAAGATTCAGGACATTAAAAAAAAAAAAGAAATCATGATCCACATTTATGTTCCTTTTTAGCCAACCTTGTTTAAACGTAACTTCTGTATAAATAAAAAAAACCCAAAAAAAATAGAAAACCCAAAAAAAAAATAGAAAAAATCACAAAAAAAAAAACCAAAAAAATAAGAAAAAATCCACAAAAAAATGCCTCTTCTTACTACCCTAAGAACTACGTGCAGCTTGATCCCTCATGGCACACTATAACACTGAAACTCCTATGATTACCCTACCCTTCATCACTTTATTTTCTCACCACGCCATTGGGGGTACGTAGGCAACTCAGGCATGAGTCCAGCTGCTTAAACACAAAACCAACCTTCCACTTTATATGTGTATCGCAAACAAAATTGAGATTGTGCAGAATTTGGACTCGTACAAGAGACAAGGAAATATGCGAGCTCACAAGAAAATTGTTGAATTTCTTAGCTTCCGTCGAAGAAAATTATTAAAGGGATACAGGCCCATGTTCTACATCTTTGTCCTTTAATTTCTTTTTTAAAATTGGTATAACATGAGAGATGAACACCTTTAATACCTTTTGTTAACCCATATCATTTCCCTTATTAATTACTAATAATAAATCTTCATGCTTGCATACCCAAATGTTTTTGTAGCATGACTAAATGTTAAACAATGAACAAATTCTAACATCTTGGGTACCTTGTATATAAAGAAACCCCTAATCTAACACCTTAATCAAAAGTCCTTACTGAATTTTTCTTTCTTTTATCAAAAATCATTTACTTTTTCCAAACAAAAAATTCATATGTATGCACTTTCTTTCTAAGTTTCCTTTTTCTTTTTTTTTTAAATAAAAAAAAAAATCTTATTTGGCATACGAATTTGCATGGTTCATACATATCTTTTCATTCAAACATTTGTTGACTGTAATACCCCTTGTATAGGTTACCACCCAGGATAAACAGACATCTGATTTGGAAGCCTTCTCTTTATAAATATGACCAATCACTCTCAAGAAACCAACCTTTCAAACCGACCAGAAAATCCCATCCTAGAAAACCAAGATTTGATATCCCAGCCACTTACTAAGGGCCTGCAATTAATGATGAAAATGGGTTACGTACCTGGTCAAGGTTTAGGTAGAAACAATGAAGGAAGGAGGGACCTTATCCCCATCGTTGACAAGAAGAATCGCCATGGTTTGGGATATGATCCTAGCCACCACTTTCACATTCACAAAAGATCATCTCTAACACTCAATGGACAGTTTGTTTTGCAAAATGATACCGAGCCATACCATGAATTCCCTGAGCCATGGTATGACTTTGCCTCACAAAAAATACTCCCTGGACTGGAAACCTTCTTCGCTGAGGTTAGAGACGAGGATGTGGTAGAAAAGTGGTTTTACGAGAAGCCTAAACAAAAGGAATACATTGATTGGATAGAGTACTTGAAGCATGGTGTTCTGAGAAATTTATTTTCTACAAAATTTGGAGATATTGAAGACATAGATCCATTATCACTCATAGTACCAGTTGGGGGTGATGTTCAACTCCAAATGAAAACCGAAAAGACTCAAAACCAACCCTACCTAAAAGACCCTTCACTTAAACTTTTTTCAAAAACAAATGAGATTCATTTCTCCCACTAAGATGGTTATGAAACAGATAGTTCTTCATCCAGCCAATTTTCCCTCCACACACAATCTGACTTTTCTAATCACGAAGACATCGAAGCTCTTGTAGAATCTAAACATATTTGTATGCAAGAAATTAATGTTGATTATCATGAGTTATCTGACAATGAATCTTTCAATGAGCCTAAATCGTGCATGACACCTATAGAAGAGTCCATAGTCATAGATATAGGCATAAAAGGCGACATAAGAGAGGTCAAATTAGGATCTTCCCTCTCCCCTAAAGAACAAGTTGCATTCATTTCGTTACTTAAAGACTATGTAGATGTATTTGCATGGTCATACGCCGATATGCCAGGTGTGGACTGTAACATAGCTGAACATCATATCCCTCTCTATCCTGACAGCAAGCCAAAACAACAAAAGTTGCGAAGAATGAAGCCAGAAGTCAGTCTTAAGGTCAAAGAGGAGATCCAAAAGCAGCTTGATGCGAAATTCATTCGACCAATTAAACACCCCGAATGGTTGGCTAATGTGGTGATAGTTCCCAAAAAGGAAGGAAAGGTTCGAGTATGCATAGACTTTAGATATTTAAATGTAGCATCGTCAAAAGATTATTTCTCATTGCCCCACATAGATGTCTTGGTGGATAGTACTGCGGGACATGCAATGTTTTCATTCATGGATGGTTTTTCAGGCTATAATCAAATACTAATGGCGATGGACGATACACCAAAAACTTCGTTTATCACCCCATGGGGGACATTTTGCTACCAAGAGATGCCCTTCGGACTAAAAAATGCTGGGGCTACTTATCAACGTGCTGCAACAATCATCCTACACGACCTCATTCATGACACTGTTGAAGTGTATGTGGATGATATGATTGTTAAAAGCCATGACTGTATGGAACATATATCGGCATTGAAGTCTTTCTTCGATACAATTCGGAAATACAACTTAAGATTAAACCCCCAGAAATGTGTGTTTAGGGTAACTTCCGGAAAACTTCTAGGATTTATCGTGAGTCAAGAAGGAATCAAGGTTGATTGAGATAAGGTTAAGGCCATTAAGGAATTGCCTCCTCCAAAGAATGAAAAAGAAATAAGAGGTTTTTTGGGAAGAATTCAGTACATCAGCAGGTTCATATCACAACTTACAACTAGATGTGAACCAATCTTCAAACTTCTTCGAAAAAATGTGCCAAAAAAGTGGATTGATGAGTGTCAAGCTTCATTTGATTCAATGAAAAATTATCTTTCTAATCCTCCAGTATTGATGCCACCCAAGCCCGGGGAACCTTTGCTCTTGTACCTTACAGTGGCAGAAACTGCCATGGGTGGATTGTTGGCGCAATATCAAGAAGGTACCAAGAAAGAAATTGTTATTTATTATCTAAGAAAAAATTTCTTAGAATATGAGACTAGATATACTCCCTTAGAAAGGGCATGCATCGCTCTAATCTACGCGACAAAAAAGCTCCGACATTATCTACAAGCTCATACAACATTCCTCATCTCAAGATTAGACCCTATCAAATATATATTTGAGAAACCTATTCTGAGTGAAAGATTTGCGAGATGGCATGCTATTCTCTCATAATTCGATATTCAATGTGTTAGTCAAAAATCTGTTAAAGGGAGAGCCATATCTGAAGCGTTAGCTGATGGGCCTATATCAGGAGATGAATTCGATAATGACTTTCCGGATGAACATTTATTCAACATCAATACATCACAATGGAAGATGTACTTTGATGGAGCATCTAATAGAAGGGGGAATGGTGCAGGTGTGTTACTTATTGATCCTCATGGAGTTCATATTCCCTTTTCAATAAAACTTAGTTTTCCAACAACCAATAACACTGCTGAATATGAAGCTTGCATCTACGGTGTAAAGGCAGCCTTAGCAGCAGGGGCAAGAAATCTTATAGTGTATGGTGATCCTCATGGAGTTCATATTCCCTTTTCAATAAAACTTAGTTTTCCAACAACTAATAACACCGCTGAATATGAAGCTTGCATCTACGGTGTAAAGGCAGCCTTAGAAGCAGGGGTAAGAAATCTTATAGTGTATGGTGATTCAAACCTCATTATATCTCAAACAATTGGAGTATGGAGGGTTCGAGATGAAAGGTTGCAAATGTATACTGACCATCTCCAACAACTTATCCCCTGCTATGAGGAAATCGATTTCAAACATCTCCCTCGAGAACAAAATAGGTTCACTGACGCGCTAGCAAATCTGGCAGTAAATTTAACCTGGGAAGATAACGTTAAAGTTCGGTTTGTAACTGTAGAAGAAAAAAGTTCCCCGGTGATCATGGATGAAGATATGATCGCATCATTAACTATACAAGATGAAGAGGATGCTTGGTATAGCGACATAAAAAATTTCTTGGCCACTCGGGAATATCCCGAAGGGAGTCATAAAAAAGATCAACTTGAAATTCGAAGGCTAGCCGCTCACTTTGTGATATTAAAAGATCAATTGTATCATAAAGGTTTTGATGGAACCTTGCAACTGTGTATTCATGGTGAACAAGTCCGAAAGGTCATGGGAGAAATCCATGGAGGAGAATGCGGACCACATATGAACGGACGAATGTTGGCTCGTAAGATTTTGCGAGCCGGGTATTATTGGACCACCTTGGAGACAGATTGCATACACTTTGTAAGGACTTGTAAGAAGTGTCAAATCTTTGCAAATCTCAACCATATGCCACCCGTCTCACTACATAATCTCACTTCACCGTGGCCATTCTCAAGTTGGGGCATCGACATCATTGGACAAATTCATCCGAAAGCTTCAAATGGGCATCAATACATTTTACTAGCGATTGATTATTTTTCAAAATGGATTGAAGCAGCATCATTTTCCAAATTAGGTGCAAAACAAGTCTCGAAATTCGTGATAAACAACATTATTTGTCGCTATGGAGTACCTTTTGAAATGATTGAAAGAAACTCTTGAAAAGTATAAAGTTAGACATCATCAATCTTCTCCTTATCGCCCTCAAACCAATGGAGTAGTTGAAGCAGCCAATAAGACCATTCGGACAATAATTGCAAAAATGACTGAAAAGACAAGGGAATGGCCTGACAAGTTGCCGTATGCTCTTTGGGGTATAGAATCTCTATTCGAACCCCAACAGGAACTACTCCTTACTCCTTGGTGTATGGGATGGAACCCATCCTTCCCATAGAAATCAAAATTCAATCCTTACAGGTCATGAATGAAAGTGAAATCTCTGAAGATCAATGGCTCAAACTTCTAAATGATGAACTTGCCTTAGCAAATGAACGAAGGTTACAAGCTCTTCACAATACCCAACTTTACCAACGACGCATTGCTCGAGCCTTCAACAAGAAAGATCGAGATAGAGACATCCAGGACGGTGATTCTTGGTCAAACACATCACTCCTGTCGGGGCAGTAAAGTTAGTCGATATGAATGGTGATACTTTCCTCCACTTCACCAATCTTGATCAACTCAAAAAGTATTACGCTTAGTATCCATGCCCAAGTCAATACGGGAAAAAAAGAAAAAAAAAAGACACTGGAAATTACTCGTCAATGTATGACATTCAATCAATCTAAGGGTTGCATATGAATTAAAATTTTTATAATCTCGTCTCCTTTAGATATATCGATTGTATATTTAGGCTTTAATGTCATTGTCTAAACTTTGGACCTTCATTTACGGTTAAAATACATGATTGGGCTCATAAAATGAAATATTCTAAATCATGATCTCGTGATCATAAACTTTAAATTTCAAGTAACAAATGTCAAAGTTTAGAGCAATAATTGAGTCGACTTTTAAAGAAAAACTTCATTCCAATGAGAAATTCCAACCTTAAAACACAATGTTACATAAGATGACATTCGATCCTAATTCAACGCTTCAAATGCCCATAGTGATAAGGAAACCCTAGACTTATTACGTGAAAAGTTCAAGTGCAAAAAAAAAAAGAAAAAAGAAAAAGAAAAAAGGGGCATTTGAATCTTTCCGTTCTTGACTTTATCATTTCTCTTCCTTAATCCTCTTCGAATTGCTGATCGAGGGTTCATCCTCTATCTTTGGCCTTTTAAAAGAACCCATATCTTTGAGAAGCCACCCTTCATAATAAACATCAATAGTCGGATCAATTCTCCTAAGATCAATGGCCCTAATCGGCCCCCATGAACCATTTGTAGTGCATAGCTAGCTACATTGTTATGACACAACCCAAGATCTTCCTTGAACAACAAAAGACCCATGTGGGCAATCAAGCATGCTCGACTTCGTGCCGAGCCATATGAAACATCAAGTTTAAGACTGGTACCTTTTGATTTAAAAGGTTCGAGGACACAATTGATAAGGATGGAATATTCATGATGGAAAGTCATACCATCATGATAAGATATGCCTAAAGCCTCATGTAAATAACCACTAGTAGAAGTACACTTTCTTGTTGTAACTAATGGTCCACTCATGGAAAAACCCAAGAGGCCTTCAATTTCTTCTACCATTGGCACCATCTCCCCACCATTAAACCTAAAAACATGGTTTATCTCATTCCAGTATTTAGTAGAAGCATAAATAAGGTCATAGCAAAGTGGAAGTTTGAGAAGAGGAAGAAGGGAATCAAAGAAGATTTTTGCATAACTTTTCTCTCCTAAAGCAACCTCTACCCCCATGGAAAATAAAGTGTTTTCGTAGTCTATTTCATTGATTTCATTCAAGTAATTGGGTTCTTTTCCTTTCAAATTTTGAAAGAAAATTTGAGGAAAAGGAGGAAAGGAAAACAAGAAAGACTATGTATTCTTGTTTCAAAGGAGAATAGAAGTGGATGATTATGATCACCCCAAAATCATGTCTTATATAGGCAAGCAAAAACCCCACCTTACATTGAAACACCTATAAGCTTTCATGCATTTAGTCCCACCACAACATGCCATTTTTCTTCATGCAAACTTTACTTACATGCATGTGTTATGACAACAATCAATTGTTTTTTTTTACTCCATATTCTCATGGTTAAAGTACCCGTGAAACTTGCTTTTTTATACATGAATAGGATAGACAAACAGAATCAAATTAATCCTATGAATGTCTTTTTAGCCAATTTTACGGTTGCACTTTGATATGCCTCAAGCTGTTTATTATCTCCATCCTATATGGAATCTTTCAAGCCGGATTTTTTTAACCGTAAATAATGAACGATTAAGTTCTTTATCGAAGTTTCCAAAGCTGTTTTTTCAACCACGACTGATCAATAGATCAAAATTTTTGAGCCGGTTTTTCAACTGCGACCAAGACTCCCAAAGCTAGTTTTTCAACCACACTTGATCATTGGTTAATCGACCAAGACTTTTTAAGCCGGTTTTTCAACCGCAATCGAGATTTATCAAAGCTGATTTTTTAACCACAACTGATTATTAATCAATTATTCAAAAATTTTAAGCCAGTTTTTCAACTGCAAATAATTGACGATTAAGCCGTATTTGTCCGCAAATATTCTCACGCCATATTTAAGCAAATGCTCGATGATTATTAGCATTTTGTTTTACTTTACTCTAGTTTCTTTATAAACTCTATTTAAGGATCAAAATTTACTATCTTTTTCTAATCATTGATCATCGTTTGTTCCAAACTCGATCAATGAGGGGCATTCTGTAGACACCAAATTTTGATCCCCTATTTTCCATAATTTTTTTTTTACATTCAATTAACTAATAAATTTTGTAATTTCATAATTATAATAACAAAATTTAATTTTGCTAACGACAATCGCAATAATTAGACATAAGACACAAGTTCAAGTAGTGCTTACTTATAATTTTGGAGTATACAAAACCCTTACAATTTGTACTCCTAATTTACAAACAAAACACGAGGCTAATTTGTAGCATAACTTGAACCTTGTACACTCCGTGCCGGAAACTTCAAATCGTCATTTATTCATGATTATGAAAATCATTAACACCATTAGTAGCACCACTAACGCCATAATCAAAGCTAAATATAAATTTAGCACTCGAAAATGCTCGTCGAACAAAGACGGAGCTTGATGGTTTTTGTTGCCGGGAGCCATGGAAACCGAAGAGGAAAAGGCAAGGGGTGTGTTTTATTTTAGTAAAGGCTGATTTCGGATAAGGGAAATCTCCCTTTTATAGAGGATAAATCTTATCCGTATTTTTATCATATCCTAATTGTGTAATTGTTTAGTCTAATAATAGTAGTAAGTGTATCTTTAAAAAATAACATAAAATAAAAATAATGTCTTACCACTGACATATGTAAAAATTATTCCGATTGACATATCCGGGTCGAGAATATCAAATATTGACCCTTTAATCTGTACAATTTTAAAACCGTGACCATTTCTATAGTATCACTTTCTAACCCCGAATAAAAGTTTAGTACTACTGATTTTATGTATCCTATTGTTATTATTATTATCCTAATATTTTCAGTCTTTTTTTTTTTTTTTAAAAAAAAAAAAAAAAACAATTCCAAAAGACAATGTAGCATATTTTGATAAATGGAGAAACATGAAAATCATGCATTCATGCATGCATAAAAAACAATTCCAATGCATGCATACTAAGTTAATATCAAGGAAAAGTCATGGTTTCCCCCTTTTTTATTTTTTTTTTTATTTTTTTTGGTTTTGTTTAACTAATTTAATTTTAACTTGTTTTAATCCCACCACTTTACTTTGCTAATAACTTACTACTACTTCATATTTCATCTTCTTCCTTCCTCACCAAAACACCATTATAGCTATACCTTCATGACTCATTTATTTTTCCTCTGTTTTATACACTCAGAAATAACAAGTGTAAGTATGCATGCTATTTCACTTCCGGGTTATTGCAATGACGACAATATTTGACAGTAAAAGAGTGGCTCTAAGAAAAGATACCTCTGCTATTACCACTCATTTGATATGTCAAATCCCTACAGAAAAAGAAAATGGTAAGCCATGGTTGTAATTTAGCAACGAAGATCAGAAAATAGTGCGATATGACAATGTTGTATCACTGAGCTGTGTTTCTTCCCAAACGGTAAGGTGATATGACCATCCACAATTAATGGAAAAAAACATTTTTCTCCTTGTTATTTTCTAATAAGTGGGTTTTGTAATAGTTTTGTTTAGCTATGGTAAGTTTGAAATACGAAGAGTAAATACGCTCTTCGAAGGAAGGTAGTATTAATTAACAATTATATTAAAATTATAATAGTTCTTTTGATTATTTTTAGTCATTAATAATATTGTCTTTTGTTCAGTCAATAGTAATTAAGTTTTATATAAAGTAGTAGGCTATTCTATTTCTCCTCTACCTCATTAAGACAAATTTTGGTTACAATTTCTACCTAACTCCTGTATTCGTACGTATTTATTTTGTATAACAATATATTCTTTGTATTTTGTATTTTAGCTCCCATTTGCTCCCATATATATACCACTCCACTCTTCAAGAAAGGGAGATCTAAGAAAGGAGGTAAATAAAAAAACTCATAAAAGAAGTCTAAAATATTTCAGCACTATAATTAGAATAAAAAAAAAAAGGTAATCAAAATTTTTATTTTCAGTAAAAAAAAAAAAAAAAAAGAATATAAAAAAAAAATTGTAGAAGGACTTGGCCTAAAAATTAAATCGATCATTTTAACACTACCTTGACTAATTCCTCAAGATAGCTACTCAAAGCCAAAGGTAATATTTTCTTTCTTTTTATTTGTGATTTCATATTATTTTTTACATACATTTACTAACTTTTCTACTTTTGTGTGTTCCATAACCTCCTAGGGCACTATACGTGCCGGTTTCCTAATTAGGAAACCAAGTAGAATTTGACCGACCGCGAGCGAGTTTAAGAGTGAGTATACATGGTTTGTTTGATTTTTTTTCTTGTATGTATCATCCTTATGTAGATGATGAAATGGAAGCAATGATAATTGTACAAAATGCATAAGGAAGCTCC